GCCATAACTTTTTGCACGGAAAGCTCCATTTCAGGGCCTCTGCGGCTGCAAGCGGCAGCAGCGCGGCCGGGCCTGGCCGGGCCCTGAGGGTAACGCGGGCGGGCCGTGGCGCCGCCTGGTGGCGGCAGCGGCACCGCGCGGCTCCGGCCCCCGGTGCTGCCTGAGGGGGTCGGACCCGGCCGTGTGGGGTGTCCGGGGGGACGGGGTGTCCGTCAGGGACAGGGTGGCTGTGCCAGCTCCATGTGCTGCAAGATGGCTGCGGGATGCATTGTTAGCGCAGCCCTGGCAACCCGCGGTCCTCAGTGCAGGGGCAAAGGGGATGATTTCGCCTCCGGCCCCACTCTGGGCGCACGGGGGATGCTGGCAGGTGAATGGAGGGGAAGAGGGGCACAGGAACAGGGAGATCGCGGGGAGCGGGAGAATGAAGGGTGATGGTTGCCTGGGCGGTGGGGCAGGGTCAGATCCAGCACCGGGGAGGACAGTGGGATGAGCCACCAAGAGCTACCGCAGAGTGTTTGAGGACACGGCCTGGCTGGGCTGAGCAGCTCCAGGGATGTTCCTGCTGCTGGGACATTGGGGCAAATCTTCCAGCGATCCGGAGAGGTCTGAGACTCAATGAGCACGTCTGCTCCCAAGCTGTGGAGCTCAGTTTGAGATGGCATTTAGGGGCTTAACGTCACTGGTTGCTAGGTACTTTGCCCTGGTAAACTGCTTGAATGTGTGTGCTGTGCCCCACTTCTACATCCATGCAAAGAAAATTCTAAAAAAACCCCCGAAAGATAAAAAATTGTAGCTCTGCTTGCAGGAAGCTGTAAAGTTAAGCTTGCAACTTTTACCAGTCACCTAGCAGATTGTTCTAGTATCAAAAGCTCCCCTAAAGCATTGCCACCGTTTTACCCCATGGCCTGTACCTCCCTGAGCACCCTTGTGGAGCTGGCTGAGCCCCCCAAGGGACCCAACACAGGCGGCCGTGGGATGCTCGGGGCTGGAGCAGCTCACTGGCAGGCCCTGGCACACAGATGCTCCACGAGGGTCAGGCACGAGCTAACTGAATGCATAACTTTATTAAATAAATGCTTTGTCATGAGAAAAGACAAAGATCAAAGAGTAACATAAATTATAAGTTGAATAAATAGTATACAGCAATCTTCACTTTTTAATAAAATGTGAGATTTTTTTTTTAAGTACAAAATGCTAAACAGAGCATTAAGCTCTTCTTCCATTGTCAGTTTTTCACAAACTGCTTTTTTTTTTTCCCACCAGTAAGATTATGAGTATTTCTTGTTTACTGGAAAAAAAAACAAAACAAAACAACAAAACCAAAACGAAACAACAGAGCTACCGTATGTATGTAAAGCTATAAAAAGCTACCGTAAAATGTGTAGTGAGTATTGCTTAAAGATAAAAACCAGGCAGGAAACTCGGAATCTGGTGTGTTTTAACAACTGTGTTACAACGGTGGGTAACGTGCGTGGTGACGTCTGTCCCGGTGGCAGTGGCGGTGGCTGGTGGGGCTGGGGAGGGGGCCACAGCAGGCAGGGATCCTGGCCAGGGCCAGGACAGCGGTCTGGAAGCGAGGTGAACTGACAGTTCTTTAAATATACAATGCTCCATTTGGGGGAAAAAAAAAATCAACAATGACAACAAAACAAAACCAAAAAAAAAAAAAAAGAAAACTAAACCAACAGCAAAGAATTTTCATGGGGAAGGTGGAGAAAAGGGGAAGGGGGGAGAGAGCGGAGAAATAGTGCAAAATGCTCTTGTACTAGTGGTTTTCGAAGTCCACTGCAGTACAGACAAGGGGTAGCCCAGCCACTGAGCGCTGCTCCCTGGGCAGATGTGGTGGAAGGGCTGTCCTGAGCCATCCTTGTCCTCTCCTTCCCAGCTCCCATCCTAGATACCAACGTGGGCTCAGCACAAATACCGTAGCCAGAGACCCCTGAGCCTCATGACCCCCCGATGCACAAATTGCCAGCATCTCCTGGTGTGCCTCAACCCTCCCCAGCTTCCAAATCTGCCCCTTCTGGTTCTCTCATCCTAAATGCAGAGGGGTGCTGCTGGGTGCTGAGAATGGGAGCACCTCATCACTGCCACCCCAGAGGGTGACCAAGCCCTCCTGAAGTCACTCTCAATCCCAGGCTCCAACCCCGGTCCTAAATATTAGTGCAGCTTGTAAACAGCCTCGTCCTGCTGGGGATCCTTAAGGGAGTGGGCAGCTGGGGGGGTCACTTGGTGCCCCATCCTGGGAGCCGAGGTGATCTGGGGGGTGAGGGCGGTGCACCCCAAATGTCCCCAGGTTCGTGGGGACAGGACAGGCAATGCCATCCCAGCATGGGGTGTGCAGGCGTGAGGGAGGCTGTGTGGGATGGATTTTGGTACTCTGGGCTCCAAGGGCCACATAGACTTGCCTGGTAGGGAGAGGACAGAGCACTGCCCTGTATCCCTTCCCAGTGTCTGTGGTGGCCTCTTTGTGACACCACCTGGGGGCATCCTGGCCAAAAGGCAAGGTCCATGGGGGTCTGATGCCCTTCCCATCCCACCCCGGGGGCACATCTCCTTTCTCTGCAGCCAAAGGCTTTCAAGTTTTGGGAAATTAAACAAAAAAACAAACAAACAAATTGAAAAAAAAAAAAAAGCAAGAAAGAGGAAGAGAGAAGGAAGGAAGGGTCCTGGGAAAGGTGGTACTGGCCTATGACAGTCAGGAGGGTTTGCACAGGGATCAGCAAGCGGACAGTGTCAACAATGGCGTCCAGTGGCCCTTGGGGTTAGCACAATCTCCTCTTCCTCCCGCTTTCTTCACCCCATTCTTTACTCCACTTGCACCCCAGCATTAATCCACCACTCTGGTTAAACCAACCCTGCTCCATCAGCCCTGCAGAGCCTGGAGGGGTCCCTCTCTCAGCCCCCACCATGCTCCCCTCCAACAACATGGAATTACCCCACTTCAACAGGCTTTTTTGGGGGCACATCTACACTGGAAGCACACTTCCTTCTTTTCAAGGTGGGAAGGTGCTTTGTCCCCAGGACAAAATGTGTTCTGCTGCGTCTCCGTGGAAGTCCATAGGCAAAACTCACTCCTGCTGTCATTTGGAGGGAAATAACCACAGGTGTCCAGTCCTGCCCTCCATCAGGGTAACGTCCTGGTGGGGAGCCCACGGGATGCTTAGGGGAGCAAGATCATCTCACGAGAGGCTATGAGGGCTCCCAACCTGTGATGGCAAGAAGCCTTCACCAGAACTCCCTTGTCCCATCCCCACTGGTGGGGCTCCAGTGGTGCTGTGGACCTCCATTTTTCTCTGCCCAGGTCCAGGAAGCTGAAAGGGATATGGGGGTTCAGGAACCTTCCACCTGAGGTCAGCTGTGTCCTTTGGCCAGTGCTGGCTGCCACCTCCAGCCGTGGCAGTAGGATGTGGTTCCCAGTGAGTGTGTTTCCCCACCACAGCACCCAGACCCCACAGCTTCCTTTCTTTTCTTTCCTTCCATTCGCTGCAGGATCTCCTCCCAGCACCAACATCGTGGAGACCCTTGTCAGGGATAAGCAAGAGGCGAGAGTCCCAAAATCAAATGTAAATGTTATGAACAAGAAATGAGTTAGGAAGGCAGCCGAGGGCTGTCCCAGCATGCCCAAGGCAGTGGGTCTCCATGGTGCAGTGGCTGCTGTCACTCAACAAGGAGCTGGGCCCCAGGTTAAAGGCAAGGGCCCATCTCAGGATCTTACTGCAGGATCGTGGGAATCAGCCGTGGCAACGTGAGCGGTATCCTCAATGCAAAAGGATGGCGTTTTCCTACCCATGGGGAAAACTATAAACCAGCCTTAACAAAAAACCAAGATGAAACAAAGTGGAGGTTTGGGGGTTTTTTCCCCCTGGAGCAAACCACACTTTTGGCTGTGTAAAAAAACAATAAAAAATCTCCATAGTTGGTCATCTTTGTGGTGGCAAAGGGTGGTGAAGAGTTTTGGCTCTGATTCCCCTGTCCCCATGTAGGGATACTTCAGTCTGAACAGTGATGCAGTCCTCAGTGTTGATGAGGCCCTGATTCTACAGGCACCGATGCTCCTCCATAACTCTGCTTCTGTGCTTAATCCAGCAGGTCATTATTTGTTTTTGGGAGGGGCAGCATATCCCCCAATTGCATATTACATTGAAACCTCCAGATTTCAAGGTGAAGCATTGCAAGGAGGGAAAGCCACATCAACGCACACACAAGTGCATGCAGGTGACGAACACTTTCACACCTGGATGGACAAAGGTCAGTCCTGCTTGTCCAAGAAAATTTCTGACCTTCTAATCAAGATGAACTAGACAGGGGAGACTGTATTTCCTTTTGTGATAATTTTTTTTGAAGTCCACAAATACTTTCTGGGGGTATTTGTGCTGTTGCAGGATCTGTGTTTCCCTCCCCAGCTTATTTCCATACACAAAGTGAACAGTCCCACGTCTCCTCCCTTGCTGAAATCTGCCTGGATTGGGGGGCAGTCATTTGAGATGGAAATCAACTCAAGTGAGTCCCAGCAACATGGGGAGGATACTCTGGGGGACTGCAAGGGGAACGCTGGTGGCCACAAGATTTTCTCTCAAGACCCTTCAGAAATCAACTAGCTAACATGAAAAAAATATAAAAATAAAAATGAACCTGCCCAAAACCCGTACTGGAGAATCAGCAACTTGGAGAGCTTCCTACATCAGGGTGACCTCTGCTTGTGGCAGAGAGGTGCAGGCAGCGTTGGGGAGAGGTGCAGGATGGCAGAGTGGCCATGGCTGGTTTGTCTCTGGCTCTATCCTTTCCTTGCTGAGTCCTTGTTGTCAAAAGGCTGTTGTAGATTCCGAGTCCTCAGTTTCTTCAGGGTTTATTTCTCTCTCTTCTCTTTTTTTCCTTTTCTCTTCTTTCTTTTCTCTTTTCTTCTCTTTTTTAATTTTCTTTTTTCTTTTCTCTTTTTTCTTTCTTTTCTCTCTTTTTACTTTTCCTTTCCTTACTTCTCTCCTTTCTTTCTTTCCTTCTTTCCCTTTCTGTTTTTTTCATTTTTCTTCCTTTCTCTTTTTTCTTTTCCTTTCTTTTTTCGTCTTACATGAGATGAAAGGAATCGGAGTCCCGGGGCGTGGGGAGGTGCGGAGGGGAGGGTGGAAGGGAGTCTGGATAGATAGTGATGGGGCGGAGGGAGGGGATGTGGCTTCACTCCACATTGCTGCTGTCGAACGCGTGGCACTGCAGGTCTCCGCTCAGGAAGTCAGTCCCCGGCAGCTTCATGCCATACTTGTCCACGCACCAACACAGCCCACGCTTCCGGCCCCGGGAGGGCTTGCACTGGGGAGACACCCAAGGGCAGAGATCAGAAACAAGCCACCAGACGCTGTGTGGCTCCCTCCCTGGGGACCAGGCCTATCACACCAGCAATGCAATCCCCATGGTAGGATCTGGCTCCTGCTCTCTGCTTTCAGCACTACCCCAGCCCAGGTCTCTGACTTTCCCCCCTCCCTCACCAGCTCCTTCAGGATGCTTGCTTCAAGCCAGATGGCACCTGGAGCCATCAGCAAGGCCACCCACCACCAAATGGGTCTGGAGATGCTTGCAGCAGCATCCAGACTAACCCAGCCAAGGAAAAACCTGCATCCCTCCCACCCAGGGCAGTGGCAGAGAGAAGCCTTCCTGGGTGGGGAACATCTTACCTGCTTCCTCTTGTAGAAGCCCTTGCGGTCACAGTTGGGGAGGTGGACAGCGCGGGGGACCATCCGCTGGCTGCTCTTCAGCTCCTGCAGGGACGCCTCCATGTGCCTGCGGCATGGGCCCTGCAAGCAGGGAGATCAAATGTGAGAAGGGGAGCATCTCACAGATCCTTCCAGCCGCAAAAGCCCCCAGGTCCCCCCTGACTAGTACCCATTTCCCAAGGGTAAAAGCCCTCCATAGTCACCTTCCCATGGGAGCCTCAGGGAGGCAAGGTGAAGGCACCCACCAGCTCAAACTCCTGCCGGAGCTCGGGGATGACCACACGAGGGTGAGCCGTGTTCTCAGCCATGCCCACAAACTTCGCCAGGGTCAGCTTCTTCCGGCGGTCCTTCTTCAGGGCTTCAGCCTTGAGCTCAGAGAGGCGCCCGTGCTTGGGCCGGTAGGCCTTGGGCGGGTAGGTCTCCTCCGTCATCTCCGATGTGGTCGGCTCCTCGTGCTCCCGGGACTCCCGCTCTGCAAGGGATGGGGTACCAAACTGTCATGTCTCTGTGAGATGAGTGGGGCTTGCTTTTGCACAGAGACCCTCCTGCCCAACACAGAAAAGAGCTTTGGAGCAGGCAGGATGAAAACAAATAACTGAAGGAATCCCTTTCCCAGCTGCTGCCTACAGCCCTGGCTTTATCCCACTGTGTGGGACTTCACAAGGTTTTTTTGTGACCTCTGAGCTTGGGACAGGAAGCTGTCTAGAGAGCATGGAGGAGTCAGAGGTCTAGGATGTAGTTCTACATACAAGGGCCATCATTGTTTCTGTGGAAAAAGACCAGCATGAGGGTCATCCTAACTCCAGGGCCAGGTGACACATAAATGAGGCAGAGAAGCCCCTGTTTATCCATGCTTAGAGGATTAAGTGACAAGTTCATACTCCACCCTGCTTTAAGAAGGCAAGAGCACAAGCCAGGAATGCTTGAAGATGAGACAATTCCAAAGCCAAGGTCAATCACACAGCACAGCCACCACGTGGCTGGGCAGACATTTCAGCAGTGATACCAAAGATGTGGCTGACAAGTGTTGGGATCTCCAGGGTCCTCAGCTTGCAGCCCCACTCATGGGATCAAACCAGCTCCCATCTGCTGACACACACCCAGCAGCCTGCAAAGCCAAGGGTAACACTGCCAAGTAATGCTGCCTGACTGCCACTGATGGGACTGACAGCAAAGGGGGAACATGTTTAGGTTCTGTCCATGGCACCCATCTTCCTGTAGATCCCCCAGCACAACCTCTGCTGGCAGGATGCAGGCAGGAGCCCTGAGGAGTTATATATAGGAGCAAGCTGGTGACAGTCTAAACTTAGATGACTTGTGACATTTAGTACAACCACCAGAGTGAAAAAGGGTTATTTCTCGACTAAATTTGAATATAGTTTAAAGGTCCTGAGGCTCCTGGTCTCCTGACCCCTGGGTCCCCAGCTGTCTGGTGTTGATGACAAGTCTGTGCTGGGACCAGCAAGTGACCATGAAGAAACTCACTGCAGCAGAAGGAAAGCATCAGAGTAGCTGAAATCTGTCCCTGAACAGCATCTCTTGCAATTTCTATGCCAGTGAACCCAGATCATCCCCTCCTACGGGAGGGAAAAGGCTCAGGATTAAAATAAAAGCAGATATACGCCCCCAACAAGGCAAGCAGGATTCTTTCTGCAAAGCAACTACTTCTTGGAGCCCAGATGCAGCACCAGGAGGGAGAAAGGTGAAGAGGATGCCACTGCTGCCCAGGGATGCCTGAGGATGCCCAGTGGGGGGGACAGACGAGATGCTTAGTGGCAGATGGCAGTGCCAGACTGTCACACACACCTCAGCCGGGGGGTTTGGAGGTGACCGAGTGTCACTGGGTCACTGGGTGCCCAAGCCATCCACAGGTACAAGTCTTCTATTCCTCCTTGCCAAGGGGACCTTGCACTCTCCCAGCAAAAAACTGAAAGTTTCTCATGGCCACTTATTTATTAAAGTGGCCCTTTGTTTTTTTTTGTTTTCACAAGAACAGCACTGGATGAGCATCCCCAACCCTACACCCTCCTAACTGCCAAGAGCAATGTAACAATCCCCTGTATCATCCCCAGGACTCATGTGGCTTCCCAGGATGGGATAATTTTGCCATTTTACCCCATGATGCTTATATGCTTGGTGTTTTTTCCCTTGCTGCAGGACTCACCTGCCTGCACAGATCAGGGCTCCTCTACTCTAAGAGGATGACAGACAGGGGATAGAGAAGAAACTGAGTAACCTGGAAATTACTCCCCAGAAAATGAAACAACACAAGGTGCAGCTGAAGTGCTTCCTTTGCCTCAAAAGATATTCTGGCAACTCAAGGTCTGAAAGAAGAACAGAGGCATCTGCAGTGACTAATCTCTTCTCATAGCAGTGAAACACGCAGTGTTCTGTCCCAGGAATCCCCTCTGGCACCCACATCCAGGGCTGGTGCTGCCAGAGTACCTCCCTGGGCTGCCCTACAGTAATAAAGGGAAGTTTCACATTGGTGCTGGCAAAACCCCAGTAACACAGGAGAGGCACAACTCATTACCTCAGCAATAACAAATAAGTGAGGCACAGCTTCTTAGGGCAATCCTAACAAATAAAAACAAGTAACAAATAAAGGATACAAGGCAGTGAGGATTCAGTCAGAGAAACAGTACAGGGTGTCCAGTCCCCAGAACTCAGCATGCAATGGGTGTCTGCAGCAGCTCAGACTGCTCACATGGTCAGCAGCTTTACCCCCTTGCAAGCACTTTATCCCTCCTCTCCCTGCAAGCTGCCAGCAAGCCAGAGTGAGCTGGGGACTAATGTGGAGCTCTTTCAGCAAGGATAGATGGCAGCCACAGGAGCCCTGTGCTCCTGTAACTGATGTGCATTAAAAGCTGCCCAGACCCCAATCCAAGTCTGGTGTTTTCTGCAGGGCTGAAAAAGCACCTGGTACTGACCCCCTTCGCTCTCCCTGGCATGCATGTGCTCACCCTCAAGTGGAAACATATGCTTGGGATGTCATACAACAAGGATTAGAAGTGATGGGACTCCTTCATCTGTGACTCAGCAGTGGTGTCTAGTTTGGGTTTTTACATCCCAGTGATAACTCCATGGATGCCTTGAAGGGATCCCTTTCTTAAATCCTCTTATGTTTTTTATAGCCTAATTTCCTTCAACAACAAGGCTGATGCGACCCCTTCTTCTAACAAGCCAATTTTGGCAAACTGAAGGGCAGAGGACTCTCACAGAAACACCTAACAAGCTCTGGGCAGCTTATTAGAGGGGCCTTCCCAGGGCGAAGAGGAGAGGGAAAGGCAGAGCTGGCACATGCAGCACACATGCAGCCCCTCCCTTCTCTTCCTGGCTGGCCCATCCACCTTCACCTGCAGCTGCCCACTGCTGCCAGACCAGACACTCACATCAGCATCCCCAGAGCTCCTGCACCCACCTGCCCATCCTCACCCACCTGCCCATTCATTACCCTCTGTCTGCCCCTCGGCTGGCTCATGGCAGGCAGCATTTGGCAATGCTGTGCCTCCATGCCTGAGGAGATGCTGGCAGGAGCAACACCCAGTTTCACCAAAGGAGCCCAACTTCTGTGGAAGACTCAGGAAGAAGTTCAGGCTGGAGTTCCTCCTCCCTCACTGTCAGGTTCTGGCCTGCCACACAGCCCCTTCCCACCTACCCCCATCTGCCTGCCAGCCTGGTGCCACCTGCAGAGGCACAGCTGCCTGTCTGGGGACACAAGGCCTGGCAAAGCACGCTGCATCCCTGTGGGCTTAGGGCATGGGCAGGCAGGCCCTACTCATGGTGTCCCCAGATAAGGGACAGTGGGAAACAGAAGGTGGGTGGCTTACACAGCTCCATTCCTTCTCCCCACAACACAGGAGGGGACCACCTCCCACCAGAGGTCCCAAGCTTACTGGCACAGAAAATAACACAAAAGAATGACATAGCTAGCCAAGCTGAGGATGCCTGGCTAGCTTGGAGGTGATACATGGGCTGAAGCCACCTCAAAGGGATGCTGACCCTACAGACAAGGCAGCAGACTGAACTCAGCTCAGAGCCACTCCATGGCTTCATGTCTGGTCTGATCCATTGCTGCCCAGGGAAAGAGGGGCAAGCATCTGGAAAGGCTCTTGACCCAGGCCAAAAGGACTGTGCTGTTGATGAGCCCTGGGACACAGAAAATACCCACAGCAGAGCATGGGATGTCCTATGCCCTGCGCTGAGGCACAGTGTCTTCTCCCCACTCCAGCCTAGCCAGTGGAAACTCCCTAACAGGAACCATTTCCAACTGTTCCCTGCAGAAGGGAAGGGGAGTAGCAAAATACTGGGCACTGTTTCTGGGAAGCCACAAATTGCTCCTGTCTGGCTGCCTGCTGTCCCTAAGAGATACCACCCAGAGCAGACTACCCATCATTCTGCCCTGCATTAAAACCCAGCCTGGTGCTCTTGGGCTTTAGATGCTTTGGGCCCATGTGACCCATAAGGTGGCGGGTGCACTCACATGGTGGAGCAGAGTGTGTGGGAACACTGCAACCCTGCCTGCTGACATTACAGAGTGGAACACAAAACTTTTTCCAAATGGCTGGGAGGCTCAAATTTTTGTAACACATTTTCATTGGTTTCTGGCAGAAAGGATCTATTGACTGCTGCTCTTAATGAACCGTGCTTGTTACAGCCACAGCCACTGCTAGAGGACTTGCTGTCCTGTTCAACACCACCCCCAAAAGCCACATGCACTGAAGAAGTACATGCACAACCACAGCACAACCCTGCTAAACAGCCCTCTTGATTATTATAATGATCATTATTATAATGATCATTATTATTTACAGCATAGGCACTAACTTAATACACCACTTAAACAGGAAGGTGTTGGAGAACGACTTAATGGGGATCTCAGTTAAAACTCTAGCATAGGAACAACAAAAATGTCACTTGTGGAGACTCTGAGAATTTGTCCAGTCCTTCCTCTGCCCCAAACTCAGCCATCCCTGTTCAGAGATGCTCATTGCATATGGGGCTTATACAGGAATTCCGTTCTTAGATACCTGGCTGGAAAAAACCCTGAGGATTTTCCCCAGCGGCCTTCCCCATTTGTTGCCCACTCTGGAGGAGGGGACATGCTTGACCTACATCAAAACTTCCTGGTACTGACAAGCAAATTCGTCCCTGACCTGAACTAGCACCTGTGGCCATGATGGGAAAATAAAAATTCCCCCTTCCTGGTCAGCACACAGAGACAGCCACTGTGTTTGCATTCTCAAGATGCAGGCAGGGAAGGGAGAATGCAGGCAGGGAAGAGATGCAAAGAGAGGAAAGTCATCTCATCTTGCACCCTTTGGCAGCTGGAGAGTACAACTGAGCAAAAACATTCCGGAGCTCCCCAGAGGCCACCTGACTCAGCCCAGGCAGAAGCCCAGGAGCTCTCACCCGCCTAATGAAGAACAGCTTGCTGACATTCCCGTCCCAGGCACAGCCCCCAGCGTGGGG